TCTTTCTGGAGCCTTTCTACTGCTACTCCCTGGCTCCTCTTACTGCTGTCTTTCAGCCACACCCACTTGATCTTCTGCTAGGAAAGATCTACACCTAGCCTTCTCGGAAAAGGACGAAAAATCTCGGAGGTCCTGTGTGCAAATTGCGCACATTAAAGATACCTTGGTGGTCTAAAATCGAAGAGAGTTGGCTTCGGCAGTCACCCGGAAAAATTCCAAATTTCCTACCAACTGAAAATGTTTAATGTGTCCCACTCGCTCATAAGACTTTATGAAGTTGCAAGCATTGTAAAACACTTACAAAAAAACAAAAAAAACAAACAAACAGAACTACGACGACAGTTCATACTTGAAAGCCATCACCGCTCCTTTTTTCCATTCGCACCCCCCCCCCCTCCCCACGCACACACTCTATCAACGATTCTTAATTAAGATAACACAGTCTGTGAAAACATCTGTTTCACCTCCCACCGTTTTAGGCCAAATACATGCTTGGCGACTACTAACACAGATACATTTATTTATCTTTACTCATTATTCATTTTATGGTATTCGGCAGAAGATATTCGGAGACGTCTCCGGCGAGCACCCAGGTACTATTCGGAGACGTACTCCCGCACGCAGATGCACTGCTTTAGGGGTCGAACTTGCGTACTGTTTGCTGCAAATCACACATTCTATAGCTCCCAAAACTGACGCAAATCATTTGTGAGGCAGCGTGGTGGAATCAGGCTCTCGTCAAAATAATCAAAGTGAAGAAACCTCTCATTTTTCCGCAGGTTTGTGAAATTTTATAAATTTTTTTTTTTGGCCCAACACCTTTCATACCCATTAAACAACTCATTTCTGTGTGGATTTTTTCTGAAAAACGTTGATTAAAGGCACAAAAATTTAAATTTTCACTTACCACGGACTCTTAAGCTAAGGAAATAACTAATCTTTGGCGGCCATTTTCTCATTAATTTTACCTCTAAAAACAGGTGACCCCACCTCATTCTTTCACAAATATCTCGACTTGTATTCAAGATAAATGGATATTATTTTATTCATCCAAATAAAGACAAGTGAATAAGCTTTAAGATGATACCAATAACTTTACCTGCCCCAAAAATTGACGAGAGCCTGATTCCACCACGCTGCCACACATAATATTGTAACAACAGACAAGTTTGATGGAAAGAGAGGCAGATACAAAGAAGGAAAACTAAGATACTGGACAAGATGACGACATGGCTAAGAGCAGCAAGAACCACAGACACCATTGCTGCATCGCAAGACAGAGGGAAGTGGAGGTCCATGATCGCCCATACCAGTCGTCAAGGCATTGGATGATGATGGTGTGGAGTCATATTGGGTGTTTTCCAAGACTCGCTTCGAACTCTGCAACTCTCTGCTATCAAGTAGATGTTTTACGGCCCAACATCACAATTTAGATCTTTTAGGAGGCGGGCCCTGCTATCAGGGCCAACCTGGGCTGACTGAGAGGGATACAGCGTCACAACAGACAGACGGAGAGATAGATCTACTCGAAATACAAAATAAAAATCATCATCATCCAGTGCCAGATCTGTGACAGACATCGGCGATCATGGTTCTCTATTCATTTCATTGCTCGGATGCTCTTAAAAAAAAGGCAAGTTTCCCTGATAAAAATAACTTTAAAAAAAAACCCTTCCTAAAAGGGAATCGAACTCACATCTTTTGAGTGCGACAGCGAAACGCATAACCTCTACACGACACATACGCAAGTGGGTGGTTAGCAGATGCTCTGGTTTGGTTTGCTCCTTCTTTCCTATCAAACAGTTATCGTCCTTATTTCTCCTTCTTTTTTCTTTTTTGCATGTGTTTCTCTCTTGTCATACATCTATTCTTCGATATGTGAGGCCGTGTGGTGGAATCAGGCTCTCGTCAAAATAATCAAAGTGAAGGAACTTGCATTTATAAGCAGGTTTGTGAATTTTTATCAATTTTTTTTGTTGTGGCCCAACACTTTTCAGACCCAATAAAGAACTCATTTATGTGTGGATTTTTCTGAAAAACTTTGATTAAAGGAGCAAAAATATGTAAATTTTTAGTTACCACGGACTCTCTAGCTAAGGAAATAACTAATCTTTGGCGGCCATTTTCTCACTAATCTTACCTCTGAAAACAGGTGACCTCCACGCCCTTCATTCGCAAATACCTCGACTTGTATTCAAGATAAATAAATACTTTTTTTCACCCAAAATAAAGACAAATGAACAAGCTTTAATATGATACCAATACCTATACATGCCCAATAATTGACGAGAGCCTGATTTCACCACGCTGCCTCACATATGACTTTATTAGGTTGCAAGTGCTGTAAAACTCTAACTAAAAATATACAAAGACGCAAGTATTGGTCTCAAGGCAAATTAAATGCTCCAACTTGTAAAGATTACTTGTTTACTTGTGTGAAGGACCGACATTACTGCACAAGGGGCATCCCCATAAGCGCTCCGTCCCCTGAGCAAGCACATCTCGAAATGTGTTGAGTGTAGATGCTGATGGTTCCAAGCAATGGTTGATTCCATAGCCTTCTGCTCCCCCCCCCCCCCCCCCACACACACACTAAGTCTTGAACTTATAAATTAAAAGGCCTTTATCCTTTTGCAAGGCCTTAATGACTTATTACGAGGTTTCGATCAGAATCGACAGAGTAGACTATGAACAGCCATTTTGATGTCAGAAATTGATACCTCTCACTGCTGTTAACAGAACTTCACCGTTCCGCTTGGCATAAGAACCCCCCCCCCCCCTCCCCCCCC